CTGGAAGCTGCTTTGGGTTTCTGGGGCACAAAACAGCTTAATCCTCCTGAACAGATGACGGCAGCCACTTTCAGCCAGGGACAGGCCCAACTAGCTATTCAGACAGCCACCACCACGCGTGTGTGTGTGTGTGTGTGTGTGTGTGTGTGTGTGTGGTGTGTGGTGTGCGTGTGTGGTGTGCGCGTGTGGTGTGGTGTGTGTGTGGTGTGCGTGTGGTGTGTGCGTATGATGTGGTGTGTTTGTGTGCTGTGTGTGTGTGTGCTCTGTGTGTGTGTGTGTGTGTGTGTGTGTGTGTGTGTGTAGTGTGTGTGTGCTAGGTCATGTGTACCTTCTCTCTTCCTGGCTCACTCTTTCCGTGGCAGACAGGGACAGAGGAGGAAGGCTCCCATGGGAGTCAATCCCATTTAGGCCATTGCTCTTACTGCAGTGTCCAGAGGGACAAGATGCCATCAAATACCAAGCAATTGTGTTGTGAGCAGACCAGGAGTCGGGCAGGCAGGGGGAATCCCAGGACATGGGGAGCATGGAAGGGAGAGACAGGCGGAGCTTCTTGGTGGCTGGAGGCCAACACTGAAGAGCAAACATCTGTGAATTCCAGAAGACTCTCTGGGAAGAAGGAACAAAGCACATACGGGCAGAACTCATATACTTTTATCTTCTTTTACTTTATTCTTACTACTTTTCTACCACCAACAGTGGTTACTTCCGAGTAGGAGAGAAAGAGAAACCACAGAGGGGTGTGGCACCGCTCGGCAGCATCTGGAAGTGTCCAGGCTTGGGGCCTTCCTTCTCAGTGGACAGAGACCAGGAGATAGCTGGGGTGGGGAGGGGCTAAGCCTTCCTTTCTTACAGTTTATAGTGTAGGACTTCAGGCTTGATATGGGGCTCATGGTGTAACCATGTGTCCAGCCTACCTCCTTTCCCACCTCCTTCTGAGCCACAAGAGACCCGAGAGAGAGCTGGGCTGTGGGGTCAAGGTGTGTGTGTGTGTGTGTGCACAGGAATAGCTGAGGTAGCCCTAGGAGTGCAGAGCCATGTCAGGTCTGTCCAGCCCTGGATGCAACATGGAGGTGCTGGGGGAGTAGAAGCTGGGTAGGCGTGGGTAGGAGCAGCGCAGGCAGGGGTGGGGGATGGGGAGGCAAGTGACAGGGCAGAGAGAGCCCTGGGCATGCTTGGGACTCTATTACTTGGGGCTCTGCCCACAGATGCTCCATGCCACTCTCCACCCAGGCTCCACAGGGTCAGAATAGTGAGGGTCATGGCACAGCTGCTCACATGAAAGACGCTGGGTGACTGACTGGTGGCACAGAGCCTGCTCTTAGGCTGTCACCATTCCGGGAAGGAGTTACACCAGCACCCTCTCCCCCTTGGCTACAGCATCACTCAAACCCACCTGCCTCTAAAGGTGAAGGTGTTGGAGCTTCCCTGGCCATGCTCTGGGGCAGATGACAGAAGAGACCCAGCCAATTTCTGCTCTAAGTGGACCAGCTCTTTCCTTCTGGAGTCCACGGGGCGGGGCGGGGGGGGGGTGGGGCGGCTCCGTACCAGCTCTCTCTGGCCATGTCTCCAAGTTCACACAAGGCACACTCCCCACACTCCTGGCTAGTACCTGAAATCCAAACGTTTGCACCTGCCATCTCCCCGGGAGCTCCCCCTCCCAGACAGTGAGAGGAAAAGGAGCTAGCAACCTTGGACAGCCCTTCTGTGTATCAGATGGAAGTGCTGGCGACAGGCCATCGTGGATCAGTCATCTGAAGCCAGAGCAGAGAGCATGGCACCCAGGGCAGCTGGGAAGCAAGAGTCACATGGAGTGACCTGTCCACCACTGACTACACAGAGGCCTGCTGTGTCAAATGTTCGTGGAAAACGAGCCTTTGTGTCAGGGTTTCTTCAAAGGGTAATTCACCAGAACTAGGAGGAGGGTCATCCTGAGAGTTGTTGTGAAGAGTCAGATGTCACCTTCCATTGGGGTCAACCTAGGGGTAAGGGAGGAGGGGTGGTTTTCTCTGTGCAGCCTTGGCTGTCTTGGAACTATCTCCGTAGACCAGGCTGGCCTTGAACTCACAGATATCCATCTGCCTCTGCCTCCTGAGTGCCAGCATTGCCCAGCTCTAATGTACTTCTTAAAAAGATATTCTTAAAGACTTAAAGCTACCTCCACTTCTCATTAGATCTGAAGCATCATCTATGCCCCAGGACAGCTGCTCTCTCCAGGCGTGGGGGTGGGGGCAGGGTGGCAGGGAGCACAGGCTAGCTCAGGACTCTAGGACTCTCTTGAGTACCCTTCCTGAAAGCTTTGGTGTCCTGGGCCTCTGAGGTTGTGCACACCTGCAGAGAGCACTGACCTTCCGTGGGCAAGCAAGACGTCCTTAGGACAAGGAACTGAGCGGGATCAGGTTGCATCCGTGTTCTAGTGACTAGACAAAGGGACTGACCCAGCCATCTGTGTAACCAGTACAGCCTTGGCCTCTCTAGGAAATACTACCAAGGGACACAAGAGGGACTTCCATCATGCTGGGAAATGTCAGGCACGCAAGGATTCCTTCTGTTTTGGTGACAGGACTCCCCAGTGGTATGCTGAACATACAGGTAGTATGTTCTACAGAGGTAGAGCACCCCATCTGTGGTGGCTAGTTTTATGTCAACTTGACACACACTAGAGCCATTGGAGACAGGCTCAGGTGAGTAATGTTTCATCAGTTGGGCTGTAGGCAAGCCTGTAGGAGGTCATCTTAGTGACTGATGTGAGTCCCACTGTGAGGGGTGCCATTCCTGGGCTGGTGGTTCCAGGTGCTATAAGAAAGCAGGCTAAATGAATTCCCTCTCCTTAAAACTCAGGGAACTCTGTGGAAGAGGAGGCAGTGAGTCAGAGGTGATAGGGGACTCCAAAGAACCAAAGCCCTCTAAATCAACATGAGCAAAGCTCATACGAACTCAGAGACTGGGCAGCATGCACAGGGCCTGCACGGGTCTGCACCAGGTCCTCTGGGCTCATGTCATGGCTCCCAGTTGAGTTTTCATGGGATTCCTGAGTGTGCTGAATGAGCGGGACTCTGATTCTTGTGTCTTCTCTTGGGCTCTTTTCCTTCTGCTGGTTTGTCTTGACCAATTTTGATGTTTTTTTTTTTTAATCTTATACTTTACTGTTACTTTTTTAAAAAAGTGAATAAATGTGGTTAAGAGCATTGCCTGCTCTTCCAAAGGTCCTGAGTTCAATTCCCAGCAACCACATGGTGGCTCACAACCATCTGTAATGGGGTCTGGTGCCATTTTCTGGTCTGCAGGCATACACACAGACAGAATATTGTATACATAATAAATAAATTTTTTTTAAAAAAAGTGAATAAATGAATGAAATCCTAGCCATTAGGGTAAAGGTTAACAACTGAACTGTTATTCATATCTGCTAGCAGAGGGAAAACCAGTTTTCTCCAATGGAGTGCCACTGGGTATATCAACCACTCGAGGGCAGGCCTCATGTTCAGAATAGTTCAATAACATACAATAAATGCTACAGTTTATTCTGTGTGTATATTTCTATTTGTTTACAGTTTGATGATTTTTTTTTGTTTTGGGGGGTCATTTTCTTGATTTAAGGGGCTGTTGTATTGGGGGAAGGGAAGAATATGATCAAATATATTTAAAGTTAAAAATTGTTTTAAATGAAAAAAAATAATAAAAAAAATTTTAATCAAAGAAAAAAAAGCTGAGCAAGCCAGAGGAAGTGAGCCAGAATGTAGTACCCTTCAATGGTCTCTACATCAGCTCCCACCTCCAGAATCCTGATCTGACTTCCTTCAATGATGGACTATGGTATGGACATGTAAACCAAATAAACCCTTTCCTCCCCACCGTGATTTTGGTCATGGTGGTTAATCATAGCAAGTGACCCTGTCTAGGACAGGTACAGGGTCCTTGACCACTACACAGGGCAAGTGTTCCGGGGACACCCCGTATCCAGAGAACTGTTTTTCACTGAGGTCTCTCGATTCCTTAGGATAAGGTGCCCACGGCTGTCTGCTCTGAGACCTACTAGGCAGGGTAGCTTGCAAGAGCCCTCTCCATATGCGAGAAGACAACAGCTGACCCCATCCTCTGACGCCCAGATCCGAGTTCTAAGAGTCGTTTTTACATTGCTCTGACACAGAGCTTGCTTTCACAGACATTAGACCATGCCACAGTCACTGGCCTAAGTCCTGTCAGGAGCTTTGGCCTAGTAACAGTTGTGTGCGGCTGAGAGTTGCCCAGCGGCAGGTGCTCCTGGGCCTAAACTCCCTCAGCAGAGATACTGGTACAGAGATACTAGAACAGTACCTTCCCAACAGACTGGGCTAAAAGAGGGTGCCTGGAGACAGACTGCAGAGGGAACTCCTCGTCTTCCTCTCTTCAGGCACTAACAGGCTCAGCCAGGGCCTGTGGTTCAAAAATGTGGGTGCTGTAGACATCTATGGGCAGAAGGCAGGGCCAGCCCCCTCTGAGCTGCTGCAGGAGTAGCCAGGGTACAGTGCTTCCACGTCATGCTAGCTTCCTTCTTCAGTCTTCTGTAGAGCCGGGGGCAGGTGCCCGTGACCTTTCCTGATCTGTTTGTTTTTTTTCTGAGAAAGGGTTTTACTGTGTAGTCCTGGCTGGCCTGAACCTCACTGTTAGATCTTTCTGCCTACCATACCCGGCTCTGAACTAATGCTCTTGAGGGTATATAATGCACTCCACAGACAAAGCACAGACATGGTTCTGCTTGGTTCTGTTTGCTTCAGATAGATCCCCACCCCCTGCCCAGCAGAACGGGCTTCTTGAAGAGACAAACCTCTGTCCCAGGCCCAGATGGCAGGGACCACTTGGCTCAAGATAATTGGAAGCATGAATTCCCCCAGCTCAGCCTCTGCTGGGGAACCCCTGAGAGGAAGCACAACTAAGGGCATGGTACAGCATGTGACTGTAGGGCTCCTGGTTGGCCAGAGCGACTGCGGGGGGGGGGGGGGGGGGGGGGGGGGGGGGGGGGGGGGGGGGGGGGCTGGTTGGCCAAAGGTGGGGAGGCCATGCCCAGGAAACAGCTGTGGGTGGCTCTTCCATCTCCTCTCAGAACAGGGGTGGTGGGAGCACAATGGCAAGGCTGACTGCTCTCATTCCTCCAAAGTCCCCTCTTGTGCAAGGTCCTCCCTTCTAAGTGTGATTTTTTTAAAGGTTCTTAGGGTCAGACACTGGGGTGCTGGGGAGATCTGTTGCTCTAGCCATGGGCCGACTGCACAAGGAACCCCAGAATCCCCCATTCACTAAGACACATCTCTCTGGACACAAGGGACTCCAGGATGGTGGGGAGAGACCCTGAAAACAGAGAGATGGTGTGTGTGTGTAGGTTCTTGGGGACAAGTGTCTGGTGTCGCTTCTTTCTGGAGAGCATGACTGTGGCGAAGGCTTTGCTGCTACAAGGAGTTGGAAAAACATTCTCCTGACTCCAAAGGGCAGATCCTGAACCTCAGGGCACCATTAGCGCAGCCCTTGGGCTGGTCAGTAATGGATCTGCATCAGCCTCCTTCTGCTGTGCCTGGGGAAGACCTCGATGGCAGACAGTGCTCCCACCTTGCCCACAGGTTCCTCCTGAGGGCTGTGGCACCCTCAACACCCAGAATATTTTCCATTAAAATCAGGAACAAGAAAAGCCACTACCGCCATCTCAGGATGTCCCTTAGCTCTAATTGAGCAAAGACAGAATGGGGAGATGGAAGGCTCCGTGGGAGAAAAGAGCCAAACCATTCCAGGCCGCAGCCTCTGCCTGAGGGACTTAGGGTGGAACAGAAAACCAGGAGGGAGGCCCGAGGCAGGAGATGGAAACCACCACCTAGAGCAAAGAGGGGCGCCTGCTTCAGATTTGCACCCCGTCAGGTCAGGTGACCGGCCACCTCGACAGGGATGGCCCTGGCCCACCTTCATCCCATTAGAGGCGAAGGCTTTCTCTCACAGGTCAGGCAGGTGCAGTTTTGAGGCTATCCAGGCAAGAGCCTCAACCCAGACTCCTGTTTATTCCTCTTCAGGCTTGAACAAAGGGGCAGAGACAGTTTTCTTTTCTTTCTGTTTTCTTTTTGGTCTTGGAAGTGACAGAGGGGAAAGGAATGCGGCCTCACAGGGCAGAGCTGGTATGTCCTAACCTGAGGCCTGTTTTCAGTTCTGCCCTCCCCTCCCCCTCTCCCCCTCACAGTAGATGACATAGCAGCATCTCAGATCGAGGCAGCCTTGCAGGCCAGGGCTGCGAGCCCAGGGACCCATGCTTTGAGTGGAATGTGGAGGAGATGCAACTAGGCTGGCTCCTGGCTCAAGTGCACAGAGCCCCGACACCCAAGGGCTGGAGGAGGAGAACCCCGTACGTGCAATGCAGTTTGGTTTCCTCAAGCCTGCAGAATGGCTCTAGCGGAACAGCCGAGGCCAGGCCCAGGAGGGTGCCCTGGAGCTACGCCCAGCACCCACTCAGAAGTCTCACAGGCTGGGCAGAAGGCCCTGCTTCTGTTTGAGGATGCCTAAGCCTTGCAGCTGCTAACACACAAAGCAGCAAACATGTCACCAAGCTCCAGGACACTTCCCAGCGAGGAATGCTGAAGCCTGAGTCATAAGAACAGATACATTCAGCCGAGAGGAGCCAGGTGCCCTGAGCTGGGCTCTTCCCCATGCACACCTGCTCCTCTGGGGACCCGGAGTCAGGCTGACCGCTGTGCCCAGCAGGTTTCTGCACACAGCCAGCCAGAGGCACACGGGCCCCTTGGACGGAAGTTCCAGGACAGCAGCTCCAACCTCACTGTCGGTGACCTTGGAAGAAGCAGAAAAGGTAGACGTTACCAAAGGGTCAAGCATAGGGAATAAGACCCTAGAGGGTTTGAGCATGTCCGCGCTTCCATCAGTGTCTCCTCGGCCTTCTCCCTTGGGCCCTGTGGGTTTGCAGAGATCCCAAAGGCTGCAGCTTCCCCGCCGGCCCTGCTGAACCCAGGCTGCTGAACCCAGGCTGCTGAACCATGTCTCCTTTGTTCTCTCATAGCTTTTGGTGCCCATGGCTTAGCCATGCCTGAGGAAGGTAGCGGGTCTGAGATGGTGGGAGGCTTTGACCACAGGATCTGCCAAGTCCAGTAGGAGGGCCAAACCCTAGGAAGCTGTGGGGGGAAAATCTGCTGTTCTAGCAATGAGCTCACAGGACAAGGAATCCTGATCTCCCGTTCACCAGGATACGTTCTCTGCCCCCAAGATGAGGAAAGACAGACCTAGAAACAGATGATGAGTGTGTGTGTGTGTGTGTGTAGACGGAGAGGGGGTGTGGCACCAGCCCGGGGTGTCTAGCTTATGGATACAGCCATTCTGCAGCTCCAAATCTGACCGCTGCTACTATACAGTGAGCACTGATCTCTGTAAGCATTGTGCTTAGCTGAGGTGTTTTGGAGAAACATGTCAACTCAGCAGCCTTAAACTAAAATGGATACTGAACAGGTCTGAAGCACTGGAGGACTTCTCTTCAGAGCTGCAGACAGGCAGGCAGAAGAACTGACCATAAAGCAAATCAGACAGGAAGTAGGGCTACAGCCAACTTCAGAGAGCAGAACCCTGCAGAATCTGCAGGAGGGGTTTCATTTACTCACACCCACCCGATTCTCATTCGGCAAGCTAAGCCTCTGCACCTGTCGATGGGGAAGAATGCTCAGAGAACACAAAATCCCCGGCTTCCCTAGGAAAAGGGCTACAGGAAATGCCTAACCCGAAAGAATCTGGAAACCAGGGGCTGGAGAGACTTTACTGAGCAAATTCAAGGAGTGGAGTTTGGAGAGCCATCGCACCCAGATGGGTGTGGTGACTACCTGTGATCCCACTGCAGCAGGCATAAAGGGGATCCTCTGCTCGTGTGCATGTTTCTGTACATGTCCCCATGTACACCCTGAGCAACTGCAGCAAGTCAACAATCTGCAGAACCAAAGGGCCCCTGAAGGCTCTTAAAAATCAAAGGAGAAACTCAATTACCAAGATGCCTCTGTTGGTTAGAAAGCCGTGTGCAAACAGGTCCTGGGGCAAGGAGCCTCTTCCATCACCCCAGCAGCAAAGTGAAGGTGGCCCATAAATATATCACCCAACGCTCTTGGGGCCCAGTATGCTGACCTACCCTGGCCCCACAGGCTGACACTACCCCAGTATTCAGGCTGGAACACACGAGGAGAGATAGCCACTGTGTGTAGGGAGTCCCAGATCTCTGCACGGCCTTGGCATGCCTATAAGGTCTGGCTAGGATCTGCATAGATATAACAGGGATAGCTGGGTGAAGGTGGGCAGCATGACTAGAACCCCCTTCTCATGAGTGCTTTTAGGTTTGAAAGGGGCTCGTATTGACGCCACGTTTTACTGCAAACAAACGAACACAAACAACAACAAACAACCCCTCAGCCCTGGGAGACAAAGTCTCTCTAGTCACCACGGCCTGACCTTTGGAAAAGCTCTTAAACATCCAGCCTTAGAAGCCTTCATTGGGGAAAAGGACAGGCTCAGGGAGGAGCAGACTCCTGGCCTCCAGCCTTTCTGTCCTACAACTGTAGACTTCAAAGAAGCCTTTCCCTCCCACTCTCAGGGAGCTGGCCCCTAACCAGCACTGTGACCAGCACGCATGGCAGAGCAGGCTTAGCTGCTCTGAGCTGTCGACACCCTAGAACACCAGACCTCCCAGAAACCTGCAGATCATCATTCTACCCAGCACATCCCACCCTGCAGCTCGGAGCACCTCTTTACCTAGACCCAGCCTTCTCCACAGCTAAGAAACCTAGAGGGCTCACCCTTCAGATCCCCAAAGAAAGGACAGGAACAACTGGGAAGTAGATGATGTTTGACGCTGCTCAGCCCTCAGGGGCTGCTGCTCGGGAGCCTCTTATGCAAGCTCAGAAGGACACGGCTCACAGACTAGGATGCTGGCTGTGAGCAGGTCAGGAGGGACCATGAGGAATGGATGCCAAGCAGAAATGTTCACAGTACTTCAAGACACAGATTTCAACAATCCAGTATTGAACGCAAATGAAACAAGCCTGTATTGTCACGTTTGCGTCACAACTTGACTCAGAGAGGAACTGTCCTCAAGGCCTTTGAAGCACAGGAATGTGGAGGCCCTAGACTGCTGTGTTATCTATCACTGGAGCAACCTCGGTGGCCAGCTCCCCTCCCCCGTGGATGGCATTAGTGAGCTTATGTGCCGAATTTGTATCGTATTGTAATGCAGGAAAAGATTGTATGTATAATCTGTATTATTAAGAGCAATTTAGTTTTGCATATGTAAAATTAGTGATGATTATAATACCATTAGAAGTTAAAGCTCTGCTATAAGGAAAAAAAAGCAATTTTCAGTATTAACACCAGAAGCCAATAAATAGCTCAGGAGCAAGAGTGAGCTGGGAGCACTGGGCAGCCTGGACCCAGGCTTGGGCTCTCAGGAAGTGTGAGGGCCTCAGGCTTGGCCAGAAAACATACAGAGTACCAAAGTGTGATGTTGGGTGCGGCAGGAAGCAGGGCTGCTACCAGATGCTGTGGGCACTGAAGGCCTGGGGCTGATGGGGCAAGTGACTTAGAATGGGCAAGCCCAGCAGCAGGGGAGCTCTTGCTGGCTGCAAGCAGTGGGGATGGTGACAAGCGCTATGCTGTTAGGAAACACTGGCTTGGACACCTGCCCTGACAGTCTTTTCGGAATCTACCCATGGTTCACCCAGGCCATACTGGATAGCCACTTTGACCAAGCTGGGAGAACAGGCGTAATTGAGGAATGGTGACCCAGTGAGCTCACCAGTGACTAGGTGAGTCTCAAAACCACCACAAGTGTCTATAGTCTCTATAGACAGCAGGTTATGTGGCAGCCTCAAGTCAGAACCTTGACTGACCAAAGACAGTGACTTCTTGATGGGCAGTCCACGGAGGGGATGAAGCCCAAAGTAGGTGGACTCAGGGACCATCATCCAGAGATGGGTGTTGAGACCATGGCCTCTCAACAGAAAACTGGCAGTACTTGGCCCAAGAGGTTCAGACAGGCAGGTACATTTGGAGGCTCTGGATAGGGCCCGTGATGCCCCAGACACTTTAATACCTGCTATTCCCATTTACCTCCCCCAAACTGTCCTGCCTGCCTGCAGGCTCCCGCATGATACCCAGGGGCAGTGGCAGGGACAGGCCACTGGGAGCCAGTGGGTGGGGAAGCCTGAGCCCCTGTAGAAGGCCTGGAATTATAGGCCTTAGTTTCCTTCTGGAACAAAATAATTACAACCTTCCCAGAGGACCTGAATTCCCTGAAAGCAACACAGAAGTCAGCTGACAGCCCATCGGGAGAGCGGAAGTGCTGGAAGAAAGCGAGCTGGTTCGGCGCGGTTCACTAAGGGATGCTGTTCAAAGACTGGATGGGGCTCTCCACCCAGCACTCACAATGCACTAGCACCTGCGATAGACTGGATCCTGAAAATATCTACTTTCCCTGGAGAAATAAATGTCAAGAAGCAGGAAAGCGAGAGGGGCCACGATACTCCCTGAAACGGCTGTTCCAAACGCCTTCATAGGCAGATCTTTCTGGAACAACAGTGCCTTCCCCTCGAGCACAGACCCCCTCCATCTCCACAATGCAATGGCTCTTTGCAGGTGCTACTCTACAACCAGACTGGTGGTGTGGGGCACGGAGGCGGTGGCCCTTGCTGCTGCCATGGGCCCTGGGCTCGTCTATCCTTGAAGCTCAGTCTTCCCTCTGTTACACGAGAGGCTGAGCACTGGCAATCAGTGTGCAACAGGTACTCTGATGAAAAACATTCTGGGACCATTGCCTGAAGGGGATGAGTGAGAGGTGGATGGTATCCCACAGACTCAGACCCTAGTCTCTGCAGCCTGGGCGTGTCAACGTCTATGGCTTACTTCTGTAGATACAACCAATTAGATATTTCTGAGATGATTATACTAGCTAATCAGGAGGCCCCCAAAGTCACTATGGGTCCTTGTCAGAAGGGCAGCCTATGACACGACACTGAGGAAGAGGAGGAAGCTCCAAGATTACGGAAGTAAACTAGAGGGACACTGCCACACACAGTCAGCAGCACCCAAAGCCACCAGGAGCCAGAATTGGCTCCCCCGCCCCAGCTTTCAGAGGGAGCCCAGCTGGGCTCAAGCCTTGCTCTCAGACCTCTGACTCTAAAGGACATGGGGGTGTTTGTAGGCCCTACTCTGTGGAGGTCTGTTACCATGGCCACAGGACAAACTGACTCTAGGGAGGATGACAGTCCAGCAAAGCGGAACGTCCAAGGCATGGGTGTGCTGTGCTTCCTGGGAAAGCTTTCAAGCCAGCAGCCTGGACACTCAAAAGTTGGGGCCTGCATGCTCCCATGTCTGGGGCATCTGGTGTCTCCACAGTCCTAGGGCTGGGTCCTGAGCTGGTACCCCATCGTCCTTGTAGCGAGGTGGCATGGCTTCTAGCCAAGCACTGTGCTGGCTACCTGCCAACGCTGTGACTCTGTCCACAGATTGCCTGGGCACTCCAGAAAACAGAAAAGAGGCATCATCAACCCTTGTAGCTCCCAGGATACCAGGGCAGGCATGCTGTACCTCTTAAGAGTGCTGCGGCACAGGGTAAGCAAGGCCCCGCCCTATTGCTGTTAGCCCTGAGCCCTCCTCTCTGATCCCATACTCCTTCCTGTCCTTGGCGGTAGTCAGGTCACTCTCCTGGACCCTCCACCTTCCATGGTGCCACATCTTACCACCCCCACCACATCCCTCCTCACTGAGGCCCTGAATAGAACCTTGCCAGCCATAGCAAGGTCCTCATTCCTACTCTGTCCCCCACAGTACTGTCCCCACCAATGCCATATTGAACACCCCTCACCTTTAGCCTGTGGTACCAGAGCTCTGAGCTTTTCATTAGAGACACTTTAAGCCAGGCCGTGGGCACTTCGTCACCTCCAGGGTCACCGTGAGGTCAGGGATTGTGGGGCAGGAAGAGGCAGCACCCTCTCGTTTGCCGATTTAACACCACATTGCCCACACTCCCCAGCTTGTTTCAGCACAAATGACTGAACCTGCTCACTGCTCTGAGTCTTCCACTGCAGAAGTCTATGGGGGTCACACATCACCTGGAACAGGGTCTGCCCTGGAACTGCCCCCCCACAATCCCCTACACCCCATTTAGATCTCAAGTCACCTTCTCCAGGAAGCCTTCCCAGGTAACAGCGCAGGTCTGGATTTCCGCCGTAAGATCTGCTCCAAATCCCTTGTCCCTTCCTTCCCGGAGCATGCCTGTGTGATTATGACACGCTAATTTGGGAACTGTGACTCACAAATGCCTCCAGGATTCTACCTACCCTGCTAGCCCATATCCAACGGAGTATTTGGAGGGTGGGTGACAGACACACTAGCTAGAGGAGGAAGGCAGGACCAGGGGCTGGAGAGAAAGTAGCACGGCCTCAAGAATGTGGACTCAAACCAACCCTTCTCCATCTTAGCTGGTCTGGGAGGTAGGGAAAGTCAAGCCCTCCATTTGGAGAGCACCCACTGATATGTAGGACAAAGTTGGGTGGTCAGCTTCTACAAGGCTTCAGGCAGCAGCATGGGTGGGAGCAGAAGCCTGCCCTGTCCACCCAGGGGTGTAGGCCCTACTTACATAAAGGATACAGCAAGAGTTTCTTGCCCCAGCTACTAAACTCATACCAGAGCCCCTGGGTAAACAACCCCTGGTGCCTAGCTAGAGAAGATATGATCACCTCCAAGTTCATTCCTAAGCCCATCGTGTTGCTATACCCCTCACTCATCCACGAGACGGCTGCCATTGTCACCTCGTGGCACACAAGGAAACTGGGATCTCTGTGCACGGACAGAATGGGGGGAGCCTAGCCCATCCACCTGGATCAGGACTTCTTGAAGGACTCATTGAGTATGACACACGAATAACACCACGTCCCAGGAAAGTCCTTGATAAGGGCCAGGGCACCTCTTTCCCAGCCTAGTGTGCAGGGTGTCCACACCAAGTCCCCCTCAGCTGGTCCTTGTCATCCGTCAAGGTGTAGGGTCTCTCAGGAGTGGGATACTGAGCTCAGTGCCTTTGGAAGGCACCAGGTGGCTGTGCTTCCTGTGATGGCTCCCAGCATACCCAAGAGTGGCACAGACACCCCCAAATCCTGAAGAACTGCGGCCCCATCACAGCTGTCTTGAGGTAGTTGCTGGGCCAGATATGGCCTGCCAGTGAGCTGGACCAGGAAGCCGACCTCCTCCATCCGGCCTCTCCTACCTGAGCTCCATCCCTGGGCAGCTGCCTGTTCTCTAATGTCCAGGCCAGCAATTACACCCTCTGGATCCCATCACCATTTCAACAGCTTCTACTTAGGGAGGGCCGGGTCCCCCCCCCCACACACACACCAGTGTAGGCTGGAAGGGTTTAACACGAGGGACACTGCAAAGTGCCTTTGTCCACCAGGGAACCCCAGTCATACAGCAGGAGGTTCTGGCTGCAAACGCCAGCTCGGATCACTGATGAGCACTTGACCTGCCTGGCAGGAGCCTCCTCTCCATGTTTATAAAGTCCTTACAAAACCAAAACACCAGCCAGACAAGCACCTCTGAGCACTCTGCTGCTATAGAGACCCAGGGCTCCACACTCCCAGAAAGCAAAGGGCTGCTGGGTGCATGCTGGTCCAGGCACAGCCCAGGTCCTGGGGCTAGGCAAACCAGTTGGGTGAGATTTTTTTCCTCTGCTTCCGGATAAGCAGGGCCAGCCCAGAACCTACAAGGCAGCATTCTCCAAAGTGCAGCTAAGGCCTGGCTGGGCTTCCAGGGCCCAGGGGTCGCCTCCTGGTCTACACAGCTGCTATGATGGGAACTGAAAGTCAGGCTACACTCCCTCTCTCACCAGGAGTTGGGTTGATGCCACATAATTGGGGGCACATGAGAGGGGCTCTCAGCCTTCATCCATACTGTCTCCAGCCAAGCCAGTACCATGACCAGCTGCTGAACAGAGGGGCCAAGGCAGGGAAGAGAGTGAGTAGGGGCCCAGCTAGGCACAGCGAGGGGAAGAGCACGCCAGGACTGGGTGTGGCTGCAGGTGAGGTTCTACTAGGGCCAGGATACAGCACCAGGACTCAGGGCAGGACAGCTGACTTTTCTCTGATTAGCCTGTTGGAAGTGCTGCCTTAAGATAAGCAGAAATGCCAGGTGTGGTTGTGCGTGCCTTTAATCCCAGGGGAGGTGCGTGGGGCTCTGTGAGCTCAAGGCCTACCTGGTCTACAGAGTTCCAGAACAGCCTGAGCTGTTACACCAGAAACCCTGTCTTGAAACCGCCTTCCCCACCCCCCAAAAAAGCGATGTGGAGGCTGCTGCCACAGCTACCATGCCTGTTTGTACCTGCCTCATTCTACACAAAGGTCCCAAAATTGAGTAGAAATTCGCTTGGTTGCATAGAGAAAAAGCGTTTATGCATAACCAGGGACCAGTGGAGAGGGTAGGTGCCAGAACAGCCTGAGAGCTGACCCCCGCCCCCCCCCCAAGCCTGCTCTCAAGTCTTGCTTCCTCTCCTGGCGCCTCCAATGCAACTGGCAGAGCAGCGAATGGGCTTGGGAGGTAACCCGGACCCCTCTTCCTGAACCAGACCTCCTGAACCTGCTAAGGCCTTAAAGACCAACGAAAGGCTATCGTCCAAGAAACCAGTGACGCCAAAATTGTGGAATGAGCGAGTGCCCTGGGCACATAAGCCACTGAAGGCACTAAGACCTCAAGTCAGGGGTCTGGCTAGAGGTAGATGCGTTACTCTTGTCTTCCTGCACTATGAGATCACATGAAGCCAAGGATTAAGAAGAAACAAAGAGGCTGCCTGGAGCCAAGAAGGGAGCGCTAGGCCAGCCCGAAGAGTCATCAACAGGGCAGTCAGTCACAGCTGGAAGCGGCTCTCAAATGTGAGTACACCCAGTGAGAAGTACAGGCAGGTTGTAGCCCTCATGTTTCTAAACACCCCACATGGTGACTACAGATCCACCGGAGTCTCTTACTCCACGTGATCACACCGCGTGATACCCTACAAGGCTGAATGATGACACTCTCTTGCCACACATGGCACAATGCCCCAGACCCATCTGAGGACTGACTGCTACAGAGTTGGCCTGGGAGAGATCAAGACACTGCAGAGAGCACCCATCCCTCAGAACTGGCTACATTACATCCAGGAACCATCACACTTGCAGCGAAGGAGGGAGGGGGTGTGCCGAGGGGAACAGCCCACTTGAGGAGCTGAGGCCAGCTCCACTGGAGGGTAAGATGCGCTCCTTGCCATGGCCCCCTTCCCTGCCAGTCAGATGCCTGGCCAGCACGGCACGCACCCCCATAAGCAGGAGCTTTAAGGCTACTAGGGAAGAGAGTAAAAGAAGTTCCCCCAGAGTGACAGAAGATGATGGACTGCCCTTTGTCCTTCTGCTCTCCCTTTACCCCGTCAGGGTCAGGCAAACTGCATCCCTTTCTCAGTATCCTAGCAGAAAACTCACAGGGAGGGTTTCCTTTGATTAACTGGCTGCAAGACTCAATCGCAAACACACCCGATAATCTGCTGGGATGTGTGGGCTTCGGGGATAACATCAGTGAGGGCACTAGTGTTTAGGACAGCCCCTGCTGAGCAACAGGACCAAAGTCTGGCTCCCTGGTGGCTGGATGCTGACACAGGCTCAGGATCACTGCTTCGGGAACAGCAGGCACTCAGTGCACACAACACTCACCTGCTCCCGGAACCAAAGTTACATTTCAAACTGGGTCAAGAGCTCCCTTATTTCTGGGGCCACATGTTGTGTGGCATTGGCAGCCTCAGTTATAGCTTTCCGATACATCCCCTTCTTCTTACGGTTAAATCTCAGTTTGAAAAATTCAGAGAAAGGGGACAGTTTTGAAATAGACAAGAATGATGTAGTTGGAGACCCAAACCATGAGACTTTCGCTTCTTGCCAAGAGGGCTCTCCATCCTCCTTCTGGCCAAGGCTGATGTCAAGGACACGCGCTGGCCACCAAGGAAAACCATGAATCTTACCCCACACAATGTCCCCTACAGCCACCGTCCTGCCATCTTCAGTCACACACTGTGAGACGCTCTGCGTGTGCAGCCTGACCGTGAGGGGAGGGACTGTCTGGCGAGTGTCAGCAGAAGAGGAAGGAACAGAGGCACTGTCACCAGATGACAGGTCTCCTGTGTCTGGAGATGTCACTTCTGAACCAGATGATTTCAATTCATCCAGGCTGTCGGTGCTGCACACAGATTCACTGGTACAATCTGCTCTCCTCCCAGGGCAGTCGACGAGAAAAGTCAAGCTACTGCGTCCGTGTTTACTTTGAGGAAACCTCTTGAGGTCATCGTCCTCACCAGAACTTCCAGAAGACAAGTCCTCCAGTCCATGGTTAGAGCCATCAGCAAAAAGAGCAGAAGAGCTGCTCAGGGGGCCTCGTGGGCATCCGTTCAGCTCCTCTACCAGCTCAGCCCTATATAGAGGCTCCTGCTCCCCATCCCTCAGCCGGTGGGGCTTCAAGCGGATTTTGGGAGGCGGCAGGTCTGAGATGGGAGGCACTGGACGAGTCAGCTTCAGCTTGGGAATGGAATGCCCGCTGGGCGGTCGATCACCACCACCCCTGGGCTCCACATCCCTCGCGACCTCTAAGTCCTGGCTGCCATTCTGTAGGGACTGTTGAGGGCAGAAGGGCTCCACAGAGCCATGCACTCTGGATGGGATCTTAACCACCTCACCCTTGCCCTGTGGTGTGCTGTAGGAGATCTTGATGACTGGGCTCCGTGGAACACGCTCTCCGGGAACCCTATCCTCTTCCCGCTTCTCTCTCTTGCTCCTCCTTGGGGCGGCAGCTATGGAGTCACTGTCCTCAGGTTCCTCTGGCTTCCGGTGCTCACTGTCGGGGCCACTGCCTAGCCTCCGGCGAGGTCTGGAGGTGGTCAGGGGACCAGGACTGGCCTCCTGGGGACTCACAGTACTCTTGCATTTCTCACACAGCACTTGGCGTGGTCGCAGGCGGATCGTGCTAAGAATGAGCCTGCCAGGATCCCGGTTGCGGGACAGTCGCCGCCGGGTCCGCTTGATGGTCCTGGGTGGGGGCTGCGGCACCCACTGCTGGTAGGTGTTTCTCAGCCATAGTGGGTGGGGGAAGGGGGCACCCTCAAAGTAGGGTGGAAAGGGAGGCAGGTTCCCAGCAGGCAGAGGGGGTATGAGAGGTGGGGGCAGCTCGGGCCCAGCTGTCTTGGGAGGCTGATCCTTCTCAGGGGACTGGTCTTTGTGTTGAGGAGGCAGAGGTCCTGTTCCCGGCTGTGTCACTTCTCCAGGTCCCTTCTCAGGCCCCTGGCCATGACAGCTGATGACAGAGGGGTTGTCAGCCAGAGGCAGCAGAGTAGATGGAGACAGGCCAAAGAGGCCGGACCTGGTAGAAAGGGACAAAATCGGGGTGAGAATGGTGGGGATTCCAGCTACACCCAGCACCTGTCACCTAACACACTCTAGGCCTGGGAGGCTCTCTGTATCGAGATCCAGAGCGGTAGGTTAACATTAAACAGGTACTCAGGCCCTGCGTGTCCTATGACATATGGTTTGAAGGCTTCCAATGCTTCTAGAAGCCTAAGAAGAACATCTGCATTCTGGGCGTGGTCTGAGAGGGCGTCCACCTGCCCTATGACCAGGAGTCACAGAGCCCAGGCCCCTGTTCATGTGCCTTAGCTGTCTGTCCCTTCCCTTTAGAGACCTAGGGACCCAGCTTGTTGGGGACCTCATGCAAGTCCAACCCAAAGAGTATCTTATGGAGCACCCTGGTTCCAGATGCCTAATACACACGTGCAGGGTGGGAGCCACATGTGGCCAGATCCAGAGCCACAGCCACAGCTTCTGCTGCCTAGAGACCAGAGGCACCGAAGCAGGGCCTTTGGGCTCTAAAACCTCCCAAAGTCTCACAATTGGCCTGAGCTTCCATGGGCCCTAGAAAGGCTCATCAGCCAACCTGTCACCCCTGGGCTCCACCCTCAGAAAACAACACAGGGCCATAATGAGGATGTTGGGAGAAAGGGGAAGCTGGAATATCCACCCTGGGGAGCACCAGCATTCCTGTGAGAGTAACACACATCAGGTCCCGGGAAGGGAGCAGAGGGCAAGAAGATCATCCCAGGAACTGGGGAACATGGTACCCTACCCAGACACGATTAGGGGCTAGAGGAAGCCATAGGACAACAGGAAGGAATGGCAAGTGGCTGGTTTGGGAGGCAGGACAGAGAAGAGGCCCGGGATGGATGGTTACTATCCAAAGCCACCTCCCTGCCTGCTTCCACAGTCATCCAAGACTTGAAGCAGGGATTCCTCTTCTCTGTCCATCCCTCCAGCCGCCTGTGCTGACCACCTAACAGGTGCTGTAGCAGAGGACCCTCTGTCCAGGGGGTCTGCCTGCTACAGCTTCAGAATCCTAGGTATACTGCATACTGAAGAAAGACACCCAGTGCTTGGCTGCAAACCCAGGGCCTGACCTGGGCCAGGGCTCTCAAGCACCACCACAGGCTGGGGCTGGTCTTCTCAGAAACGACAGGGCCCTGGCAGCAGGCAGCCACTCTTCCTTCCCAGAGCTGCTGCCCTGCCCCTGCTCCGGCCACACCCAAGGCCTGCCTGGTGGGTAAACAGCTGAACAGCTCACCCTAGGTCAAGGCAGCCTGGCGGATGACCTTCCCCTAGGAGTCCTGAAAGTAATTGAGGCCAACAGCTTAACTTTGGGAGGCCAGGGAGCTCCAGGGCTCAGTTTTAGCGCTTCCAGCCTCTAGGCAGCAGAGGCTGTGGCTGTGACTTAAGCTCCCTTAACCCTTTAGTAGTTCCATAGAATGACGAGCAGTGACAGTCCCTCTTCACAGAGGAGACCTGCAAATGAGTCCCAGCAGCCCAGTGCTATGATGAGATGAGATTCATGACCTCCAAACATGGAGATGGAAACGGCACAGGGAAAAACCAGCGGACAAACTGTGACCTGGCCTGGGGCCCATGGGGGGCGGTGTGCTACAGCCTGTGGCTCCCAAGGCTTGGCAACCCTGGCAAGACCAGGCTGTAGCCCAAGCTGGTCAGTTTCAAGGACAGAGGCCTACAAGAAGTGCAAAGGCTCTGGCAGTGAGAGGAGCCTGATAGGGCTCACAATGGATGAAGAGGGCCTGCTGAATGGGTGCAGCTTTGGGGATGGCTAACATTGGGTAGAGGGTAGGTATGCAGGAGAGGTGCCTGGAGATTAGGGAATGATTCCCCGGTGTAGGAACCAGTATCTCCTAGAAGCATAGCATCTTTGGGAACTCTGAGGGAGAGCAAAGAACCTCTGATTTCAGGAAACTGAGCAAGGTTAAGCAGCTCAGGGCCATATCCAAAAGCAAGAGCAGTACTAACTACGGGGACCGGGAACATACTGAGGCTCTCCTGTTTTGCATGGATGAGGACACACAGTCCTAGGGGCATATGACCAGACCCAAAGTCTTCAACAAGACACCAGTGACCAAATCATGTCCCTGGGGACTCACCTGAGGGTATATGTCTTAGCCAATCACCCAGAGTAGTCTGGCTAAGACCAGCTCATAGACAGTAAGAATACAGTTCTGGCTGCTTGCCAGAACCCTCTGCTGCCCTGCTTACAGCTGCCTCCACACTGCTTCCCAGATCCTCAGGCAGACCCTGGACTCATGGGGCTGCTGGCGCCCAAGTGGCAGCCCCCCGCCCCCACCCACTCCGCCTGTCTGGGGCCTTCCTCCCTCATCCTGTGGTGGCAGAGGCCATCCCGCCACTGCCTGAGGGTTGAGTCAACAGGCTCCTGGAGCAGAGGCATGCGGATGTGCAAAGCTGGGCGGGAGCCTGCGGAAACTTCTCTACAGAGCTATGCTGCCAGGAGCCTGCAAGCCCCAGGAAGGCCCAAGTCCAAACACCCAAGGCCCCACCTTGGGCTGTTCACCAGGGCTTGCTTAGTTTAGAAAGTATATGCAGTCTCTCCATAGCCCGGCAAACAGCCAGGGAGCAATAGGACTAGAACTGGACAGGGCTCTGAGCAGGAAGGTCTTGCAGGGTAGGCTGCTCAGGACTGCTAAGTGTACCAAGGACTCTAGGGGCCACCTCTGCTCTGGGAGTTAAGGTGAGTAGATCTTCAGGATAAGTCACAGCCTGGACACCAGAGGAGCCCCTTCTCCAGAGCGTCCAATTGAACCTGCCTGGCCCTTCATATATACAATAGCACCAATACTGTCCCAAAGTCCTAAGCTCCCCTACGAGCTCAGACCAAGTCCATCCCACCTCCATGTCTTCCTTGTCCAGTCAGCCTACTGACTATGGTAAAGGCCCCAAGACCAGCATGTCAGCCTGGACCGCAGCACACCAGCTGTGATGTACAAAGCACCTGGGACCCTCCAGTTCCTTGAGAGCAAGGAGGAAGCATGAGCGCTAATGTAACCTCTGCACCTACCACATAATCTCACGAATACCCATCAGCAGCTGAGCCTCCATCCTGGACGGCATATTCCAGGACAGAACCTGATGCCCTTAGTCTGGTGACAGGAGTGGCTGTGGTCTTAGTCCCAGAGGATGCCACGCTGACCACCCCAGCAGATGGGCTCAGGGGTTGCGTGGTGACGTTTAAGAATCAACAGCTCAGATTAGAAGTCCTGAGTCAGTGAGCCTTGGCTGCTTGCAGGCTACCCTTTAGTCGAGGTTCCCTCACCTGGTACTCAGTCAGAAGAGACCTACCTCTACACTATCTGCAGAATAGTGTCAATCCCAACCCTTCATCAATGACTTGGGTCAGCACACCTCGGAAGGGATCCTCAAGTTTGCAAGTAGGGATCACGGGCAGCTTGGCAGAGGCTCAGCCCACTCCCTGGCTCAACGTGGCTGCGCAATGAATGCACAGGTACCCAGAGCAGCAGAGAACTTGCTTCAGGCTGCTCTGCTACCAGGCAGCAGATTCAGGATCTAAGTGGGAGGTGGCACTTGGCACTGTACCAGGTGGCTTGCAGGCAAGACCCCCTCAGAGCTCCCCAGCCATCTGCAGACAGGGAAGGGAATTGAAAGAGAAAACATCTTTCAGTCTGACTCCATAATGAACACTGGCGGTGGCTGGATCCAGTCTCAACCCTTTCCACCCAGGAGCCCATCTGAATGGGGCCATCTAGGAGACACTTCTGATCTAGCAAAAGAGACACACGGTGATCAGGAACCATAAAGGACAACCAGGCCACTGGGTCTGTACCCAAATTATGGGAGCCCTGATGCCTATAAACCCTACCAGTACCCCAGGAATGCGGACCTCTTGCTGTTTGGAGCCCTAGAGGCTTCCCTGAGGTAGGAGGAAATAGCACTAGGGAGCTCTTCCCTGGCTCACATCCAAGGGCTGGGCCTCCATAGGAGCAAGGACGGGTACTGGACCCTGAGGAGAAACTGGTACCTGGGAGGAGGGCAGGTCAGTGTGTGGACCCTGTAGGCTGAAAGCAGACCCTGCTGCCAGTAATACCCAGATGGTTCCTAAGCTGTATTCGGTCCTGCCTGACAAGGAGGACTGTAAACATTGAAACTCACAATACTGTGGCTAGAACACGGGAAACAGAAACCGGCCGTGGCCTGCAGGAAAGATTAGGGGTTGGGGAGATAGAAGAATAGTTTCAAGGCCAAGCCTTGGAAGGCTGGGCAGTTTTAATCTTCAGATTCTCTGCAAGGGCACAGCTGCAAGCAAAGTCACTGCAAAGAACAGTGACCACCGAGGCTGGGCTCCAAGGGGCTCTGGTTATGGTAGTCGGTGGGGCACAGACATCCACACATCCTGTGCTGCCATCACCCATGCTCAAGAAACTAGCAGCTTCTTTTCATGAAGGATGCGTGGATCTGTAAGCCAGGTTAGCCATGGGTCTCAGGGCAGGGATACCACAAGTCTCAGCCACAAGCTAGGACTACCTAGGCCTGTCTTATTCTGAGCACTGGAGCCTGAAGAGCTGCAGGTCCTCTGCTGCAGACACTCTCTAGGGAGAGAGGCTAGAGCAGGCTGCACAGGTAGAGCAGGGGCGCAGCCCTGCAGGCTCAGGACTGAGCCAGACCTGCCCTGGGAGGCCAGGGCAGCCAACAGCAGGGTGGGGGAGGGCCTTCTCTGGAAGCTTTCAGGTGGGCTCTTTGGCAGCCCCTGAATGTCACCCCAACACATAGGCACTCCCTGTGCTAACCAACAAGAGAGGGGCACCAGTCACACGGGAGGCCATATGTTAAGTCACGTGACTTGTGCATAAATGGCTTCTGGCACATCTAATGAAGACATAATGTCAGCAGGGTAACTGTCAAAGGAGGAAGGGCTCTGCTCTGTGCTGGGAACCCAGGAAAATCTGGGCTTTAGGAAGGGAAAAAGTTGGATCTTTGAAAGCAGAGCCTTTCTCCATTCCCAATTCCATAATAAAGCCAAACTGGAGCAGAAGAGTCACTGTCTGATTAATGCCTAATCATTTATCCGGCAGTGACAGCGCACTGCCATGTGACTCCGGGTTCAGGTGGCTGCTCTATGCTGCAGAAACCCCTGCAAAGGGTGCACAGGTGGTCTCAAGAGCTGAGCCCAATGCGCCCCTCCAGTTAGAGGCATTGGCCCTGTAACTTGTATCTTCTACTCCCCCGCGAGGCACCTCGCCCACGGCAGTGTTTCTACACCCCGCAGTCGTCGCAGTTGGTCCCCACCAGCCACTCCTACAAGCCTCGGGACCCATGACGGAGATAGGGCTTCTCTCCCTTTTGTGACAGGTGAGGCCACCGAGTAACTGACCCCCTTAAACGAATCACAATTCTGCAAACAGTCGAATCAACAGTGCTTCTGAACAAAGAAAAGTGCGTTAATTATGGCAGATGCGCGGAGTTTCAGGCAATGCTTCCCGTGAGTCCCGGCCGGCTCCCGCAGCCCCTCTGCGGGACCGCATGCTCTCCTGCCCCGAAAGTCACCGCGACTTTGGGAGAGAGCCACTTTCGCACCCAGACCGGCGGCCAGCTGGCGCGCCTCGAAACCCCGGCCGGAGAAAAACTGAAAGCGGGCGCCGGGCTTTGCTGCTCTGCCCAGAGCCCGCATCAGAACCTTGAATCGGCGGGGGAGTGTCCCGGGGGATTCCGAGGAGTCCCGGGCCCGCGACCCTGCCCCGCTCACTTTTTCGTGCAATCCAGCAGGATCCCGGCGAAGCTGCGCTCGCCACAGCTCACGGTGACCACCAGCGCGCCGTTGACGACCTGTTCCACCCGTACCGGCAACCGGCAGCCGGCCCGCGGCTCCATGCTCTCGCCGCCTCCGGAGGCCGCCCCCGCCCGCCACCGCCGCCGCCGCCGCCGCCGGGTCAGCCCCGCGTGACGCCGCCTGACGTCACAAAGCTCTCTCTGCCGGCCGCCACCGCGGAGCTGGGCTGGGGCGCGCGGCCGCGGGCTGCGCTCCCGGGAGCCGGAGGGCGTGGGGCGGTCCGGCCGCAGCGTGCGCCCCACAGCCGGCTCTCAGAGTTGGGCTGGCAACGCATTGCGGGGCCCCACCGGGCGGAGAGGAGGGTTTGTTAGTCTTGCCGCCACGCTGGCTAGGAATGCCCCCTACGAGGCCCTGCCAGGAACCGAGGGGTGGCGGGGACACTCCCCGGGCCCAGGCCCTTCCCCCACTCCGCTGCTCTGGGTCCCACCCCGGGCCCCACCTCCTTCCTGATCCTGTCCCGGGGCCACTCCCTGAGCCCGGCGCAGCCTGGGGCCCTTCCCCCATGCACCCTGGGGTCCCCTGCCTACCAGTCTGTGCTAGAGTACCCTGGCAGCGTCTCCTACGGACGACTCCTGTGCCCATTCGGTACTTGGGAAAGTCTGTGGGCGCGTGTGTTTGAAGCGAGTCCGGCCTGGCTTAGGAGACTCGGGGTGCCGAGGGACACCAGTGGGACTCTTGCAAGAGGCCTATGACGACACGGGCGACCTGGCACTGGGCTAGCCAGGTGTGCTCGACGCCTCATGGGAGACTATAGGACTCGCGGCAGTTTGAGGACCTCACAGTGTGCGGGGGTGGCCAGCACTAGCGTTGGGGAGGCTAATTCCATCCAGAGCCCTAGGACCAGTCTCTTGGGTCTCCTCGGACTAGGCGCCGCGGAGCGCCTCGCCTAGTGTACTTTACAAAGAGCCGCCCCCCGAGAGCAAGAGCCAGGCTCCCAGGCGTGCAGCCGAACCTCCGGGGGTAGGCTGGTCGCGAGTGGGAGGTGGCGGCGCCCGGCGGACGCCTGACCGCCACCCCAGACCTTCTCTGGCTTCCGCAAACACTTGCACTTTGGATCCGGATTCGGAACCCGTAACCGGACTATCCCCAAGGGTCGGCCGTGTTGCAATGACCAACGGCGGCGTCTGCGACCCGGGACCCTAAGCCTGGTTTGCATCACCTTCACTGGTGGCACCAGGAGGGCAACGAGGCCCTGACTACCGGTCTCCTAAGCCCATGCTCCTCTCTGCTTGAGAATGGAGTTCTTGCCCCGCTGGACCTGCTTCGGGGCTGCTTTGGGGCACAGACGCGGCGAAGGACAATCGAGGCTGTCTCTGGCGCCTCTTTACCTCGCAGCCCTAGTTTCAGAGCAGATGAGAAAGCCTGGGGGGAGTTCGGCTGAGGGGCAACTCCCCCGCCGGCGGCCCACCCCCCCCCCCCACGCCAAGCGTCTGTTATCCTCACGTCTTCAGAGCTGGATGCAGCAGAATTTGGAGCAAAAATGGTGGCTGCAGGAACCATTGCCAGCCCAGTCCCAGGTGGATGGCTGGTGGGAGGAGGCTGCCCACTCCCTCAGCCCAGATACCAACTGAGCATCTGTGCTTGAGTGCGGGGGGTGGGGGGGTGTGCCTGCGGAGGACAGACCACAGCAGAACCTCCTCCCCCAGTTCAATAGCTCCCAAGCTGGGGACACCCACGGGCTATGAGCAGCTGGGGCTGTGAGGAAAAGGCAGTCGGGAAAAGACACGAGCAAGCAGGCGCCCTTGTGGAGGGACCCTCAGGTGATAGAGGCAAGGGCTGGAAAGTAAGCTTGCTAGATGTCAAGCTCGGTTGTGGGGCAAGGGCAGAGGGACACCTAGAAAACTGCCAGCTTATTGTGTGGGTGAGGGGCTTCTATTAGTTCCTGATGTCAGCAGGAGTAGTTCGGTCGTGGTAAGGGACACAAGGGACATAGAGAACCTAGGGTTCAGCCCGTGGCAGGAGGCTCCTAGGCTGCTGGTGGCCAGAGCCCGGGAGTGGCGAGAAGGGGCCACAGCCCACTTGTGCTGCTCTCTGTATCTGCCTGCCAGCTTTGTAGTGTGTATTTTAATGGCGTATTTGGAAGCCATTTTTAAAAACCTGTTCGGTAGAATATTTAAGCAGCCAACAAGGAGATGGATTTGCAATTTAAACAATGGCCTTTCAGGGCCTCCTCCCAGCCCCCATCCACCTGGACAGGGAAGGAGGCCCGCAGCAAGCTGCTTCCCCTTTGGAGCCTGGGCTTGGCTTCAAGATTCACCTTGTACAGCTGTCTGGCCCCTATTTGTCACTAGCCCTGTGCCTTGCCTCCATCTTACAGATGACTTCTGCAGGTCTTGGCAGAGCACGGCCCTTCTGAGTCTCACTGACTCACTCCCCAGCTCTAGGAGAGACTCACAGTACTCCCAACCCATGACCATGAAGCGTGCTGCCACAGCCAGCCACAGGCCTGTCCCAGGATTGCCTGGCCAGACCACTGGCGATCCACAACACACACTCACACCAGCATACCTGGGCCTGCCTCTGCTGCTTTGTTCTGAACTCACTAGGCCCTGCGGGTTTGCAGTCCCTTTTGCCAGAGCTGAGGCTTCTGAGATAGAATCAAAGGGCCTGGTCTGGGCGGAGACACAGAGTAAGGCCGGTGGTATGCAGGCCCTAAAGCCTGGTTCCCTAGGTACTGTGTAGAGTGGGCACTGGAGTACACTGGGATTGGGGGGGGGGCGCACTGTGGGCAGGCCACACTTCCCTGGATGTCCTCCAGGGCAAGGCCTCATGGAGTCTTGGTAGCTGGAAATCCTGGACCTCCCACAGGTCACAGAGCAGAGCGTTAGAAGCTAGACTGGCTTCTGGCCATTTTGCAAGGGCTGCTCTGAAGAGATCCTGCCCTCTAAAAATCGGGATAATTGTGACATTCTCCCATTAGGAAATGTCTCATGATTAGGAAAAGAACTCACCAGAAAACCACTGACTAAGGGTATGGACTTTGGGTTAAGATTGCTGTATTCAGTGTGACCTTGGAGGGGGTGGGGGCACCAGTAGAGTAGTGGCTGGAAACACAACCCCACGCTGCCACTCCGAGCAGCCTGGGATCAGAGACCTTCATTCTGGTGAGGCTCTGAGTTGGGGAGATTTTAACATTTAAATAGTGGCTGAGGTGTGGGAAGGGAAAGACACTCAGGGAAAGGATAAGGCAAAACCAAGCATGGGTGTGGCCCTCTTAAGAAAGTCACACTTGTGTCTTTACCAAGAATCATATGAATCTGGCGGCTTCTGAAGTGTCTCAGGGCTTGCTAAGGAGCCTTTTTTTTTTTTTCAGTAAATAAGAGCGAGATGGTTCCTGGTGTACCACCGGGTAGGACAACAGCAGATAAGGAAAAAGCCCAGGTCACACGGAGTCATGTGGACGTTGAGTACTTACTGCAAAAAATTTATGGTCTTTGTGATATTCCCAGAAAGTTTTTGGTTTCTATCGGGGAAAAGAGCAAGGCCATCTGTGAAAGTCATGTATACACATGAACCTCAATCATGGTCTATTAACACTGTAATACTCTATTTGATTTATAGTGCCTGATGAGACAAAAGTGGAGACAGCAGGGCTTGGAAAAGCATGGCTATTTTATGACTTAAAAAGCTAGGCAGTGGTGGTATACGTATGCCTTTAATCCCAGCACTTGGGAGGCAGAGGCAGGTGGAGCTCTGCAAGTTCAAGGCCAGCTTGGTCTACAGAACGAGTTCCAGAACAGTCAGAGCACAGAGAAACCCTGTCTCGAAAAAACCGATACATATATGTTAATTGTATGCATGTGTCTATATGAATCCAGGCACACATATGGAAGGAAGCCTGGGGGTCAATTTTAGGGGGTCATTTCTTGCTTTTTGCCTTGTCAAGGCAGGGTCTCTTGTTTCTGCTGCTACACAGCATACTTCATACTAGCTGGCTTGTGAGTTTCGGTGTAATTTTCCTGTCTCGCCTTCTACTTCAACTGTAGGAGTGCTGGGATTACAGATGTAAATCACCGCCTATGGCTTGAAAGATGATTTTAAAACACTGGGTTTTAGGGATTGAACTTGGGTTGGAAGGCTGGCTAGGACCTCAAAAGTCCTCTTTTATTTTATTTTTTTAAAGGTTTATGTATGAGTGCTCTGTCTTCATGTACACCTTTATGCCAGAAGAGGGCATCAGATGACATTATAGATGGCTGTGAGCCACCATGTGGTTGCTGGGAATTGAACTCAGGCCCTCTGGAAGAGCAGTCAGTGTGCTTATCCTCTGAGCTCTCTTTCTAGCCCTCTCTTTTATTTTTAATGCTTCCTGTTAAATGATTTTTGGTTAAAAGAATAAGATCTTAGTCAGGCGGTGGTGGCACACACCTTTAATCCCAGCACTTGGTAGGTAGAGGCAGGTGGATCTCTGTGAGTTCGAGGCCAGCCTGGTCTGCAAGAGCTAGTTCCAGGACAGGCTCCAAAACTACAGAGAATCCCTGTCTCGAAAAAATAAAAAAAAAAGATCTGAATTATGCCTCTGGCCCTAGGCATTCTATACTGCCCAAAGGATCATGAGATTCCAAAGAGTTAACTACTTGGCCTGCCAATCACTTGGCCAAATAACAAATCTAAAGACGTGTTAAGGAGATAAGAGGAATGGAACCCTGTGATGGTCAGAAGACTAGTGTACATTGGTTCTTTCCTACCATGTGGACTCTGGGCACTGAAGTCAGGCCATCAGGCGTGTCAGCAAGCTGTGGTTACAGCTGAGCCATCTCTCTGGCCTCCTCCTCCCTCTTTCTATGTCTGTTTTGAAAGTCAGCCAAACTCCTAAGCCCACTTGCCCTAACCCACAGGGCATTCTCACTCTTCTCTGAAGGCCCACCTCCACCCCCAAGCAGCTGCTCACTGCTGATTACCTCTAATTTAAGGACAATGTTTCTTGGACTAGCAAGATGGCTTTGCCAGTAAAGGCTGACAAGCCTGACGACCTGAACTCCATTCTCTAGGAACCCACAAGATGAAGAGACCTGACCATCTCAAACTGTCCTTTGATCTCCATGTATTTGTCGCACATCACGTGCATGCAAACAAATGTGCACGCACAACACAAATGTAATGACATTTTAGAGGGATGGCTTTCTTTTTATCCCTCTCTCTTGTCTCAGAAGCTGCTGTGATGTTCAGTTTTCCTGCCTTGTTTTTCTCTCAAACACTAATTTTTTTTATTACTTTTGGTAGTGTGTGTGTGTGTTACCTACATGTATGTATGTGCACCATGAATGTGCCTTGTGCCCATGGAGGGCAGAAGTGGGTGTTGAACCCTCTGGAACTGGAGTTACAGATGATTGTGAGCCATCTCTATAACCCTTCAAACATGTTTTCAAATGATTTTGTTTACAAGACAAGGA